CCCCGAAACTCACCCGCCTTGATCCGAAACTACCTCCATGCCGATCCGAAACGAAAACCCCGAAACTAAGGGTACCCGCTTTGGAACGTAAACCCGTGAAGAACCCGCACCCAAGAGCTTCGAGTCTTTAAGGCACAAGCCCGGAGGCTGTAGGGCTCCGCACGCTTCCCTGTGACGGCGGGTGGCCGAATGCCTTACTTATCAAGATCACAGAGATCAGCGGCGACAAAAGTGCTGAGCAGTGCCAGGATCTACTATCATGGTATACTACACTACATCGGAATTACTATTGTTGTTTTTGTGGTTTTATATGACGCTACATCAACCTTTGAATCTGGGAGCATCCGAAGCAGAAGCTGACATGGACCAATCCTGAAACTTCAAATTCCCGGAAGGTCCTGAGCCTGAGCCCAGAAGTTTTCAACCCCCCCTGCATCTTTCCGACTCTAAACCCGAAGCCAAAAAAAAGAACTTTTGAAAGAACCCCCCAACCCCTCTAAACTCTAAGACCCTCTAACCCCCAAAGCCCGGTGCAGGTCCTCCGCGAGGCTCCGGAGGCCGCGACCGCGCTGCTGCGCTACGTCCGGGGCCCGCAAGAGCTTCGCATTTAGGGTGATGTTTGATCACTGCTGTAAGAACACACTGTTGTCCCCTCCTGCCGAACTTGGGTTTTGACTTGTAGCAAAGGTAAGCGGTTAAGGTGTGTGGCTTAAGGTTTACGCTTTGAGACTTGGGGTCTGAAGTTTCTGGTGTGCGGATTCGGTATAAAGTTTGCGGTCCAGGCTCTTAGGGCTGAAAAGGCCTTTGGGGTAGCGGCCTGCTTCGGGTAGGTCTAGCGGGGTTTAAGGTTCGGGTTTAAGCTGGGGGGCTTTCAGCTTAAAAGCGTGACGTGGCTCTTGAGGAGCCACATCACGCTTGGGGTGGTCGACGTCGTGGAGTTCTGAATCCCCGTGTCCTAGGACTTATCTCGAGCCCAGGAGTTTGGTGGCTTCAGTTGTTGATTCCTCTATGAAGCGTACTGGTAGCCCTGTCTCCTTTTCGATTTTTGGGTTTTTGGTTTCCGAAATGGAAGACGACACACCAGAACAAGTAACTCTCGTACCGTTGGACTGGCTAGAGGTTGCGTGTTACCATCCGATCTTACGAAGCCAAGCCCACTAAAGGATACGCAATACGAAGACCCGTCCACGCGCCAAGGCCACGGTGGAGCCGAAGAAGGATGCTCGAGCTTAGGGTGAAGTGTACTAAGCTTAGGTTTCCGGGCTTTGGGGTTTCAGATTTAGGGTTCGGGTCTAAGGCAGAGGCACGGCTTGGGGCTGGCCGGGCTCTTGGTGTAGTTGTTCTGCTGCTTAGTTTCTGTTGAGGAGCGTAGCTAAAAAAAGTCTTGCTGCGCCACCAGATAGTGAAGCTCTAAAAACGACTAGCGCGCCTTGAATCCTAGGTCGCACACAGTTTGGCTGACCAGCAGCGGAGCCACTCAGTACAGGCTCTAAAGGTCCCCGAACTGTCAACGCTGGAACAGGAGTGGGAGCGAGAGAGAGAGAGAGAGAGAGAGAGAGAGCCCGAAATAAATGGAGTTCGAAGAGGTTTCAAACCTGCGCCTTGAGCCTCAGGTCTCTTTGTGTCTTGGACACCACATCAGAACTCAGAAACCTCCCAAAGCCACAAGAAGTGCCAAGCCGTCTGATCCACTGGGCCCAGCCAGGAGCGGATCTTAAGCTCATTCCGAAGCCTTTCACCCTCAACCCCAAACTCTACTTGCAAGTAAGAGTATCTTGAAAAGAGGCAATCTGTTTGAATGCTCGTCGTGAGAACGATAGGCAAGACAAGAACAAGAACCCTTGTTAACATGGTAATGGTAGCTGTTGTTTCTGCCGTAGCTGCAGAAGCAGCATCGCTTGTTTTCTCGCTGCAGTGATATTCCTGATAGTCGTACAGAATCTAGAACTTAGCAAGCCCACGCAAACATCACAGGAGGATCCGTTCTGGCACCCCCTCCCCACGCGCGTCAGCTTCGCGCCACGCCACAGACTCTTGGAGTGCACGTGGTGGACTGTGCTACATTCAGCAGTGTGAGGGCCAGTCCCTATCGTAATCCCATATCACGGTCCTGATTCAAGCCTGTTTCAATAGTATCTTACTATGCTCTGGAACAATAGACTCAGATCAACCCCGTCTCGTTCTTTTGTACTCGGGAGACTTGGAACTGCTGGATATGTTCATTGTGCTTCGGAGTTCTGGCATATTGTCGGTTTAGATGGTGTTGGAGTTGGCTTCAACGAGGCTGAAATCACGCCTACACTGTCTGCAATCCCCGTCGTGCTGACCCACTGACGCTAGAGCTGTTCAACCCTTAGGGCCCGAAGACTCCTGACTCACCCTGCCGCACTGCCCAGGACTTGCGAAGTTCAAGCGGGCATTCAATCCACAGGCATTGGCAAAACGGGTCGGTGTGGATTTCGGATTAAGGCAGGCTTGTGGTGTGGTCTTAGGGTCTTGGGCTTGGGGTTTGGGGTCGCGGGTTTATGGCTTGGGGTATGAAGCTTGGGGTTTTGTGTGTTGCTTTAGGGAGGCTTCCACCACCTTTTCAGCCAGAATACATTGCCTGTTCGAGTTTCCCCTCCACTACCGCAGACGCAGAAGATGAGTCAAAGGCCCACCCCTAGCTTGGGGTCTTGGCTAGCGGGGGCATTTTTCTACACTCCGACCCGAGGCTGCTGTCCGGTTTCGGGGAGTACAGGCCAACATCATCCGCGCGATCATTGTCATTCGAGCACCATCATCATCATCATCAACAACAACAACAACAGTACCACCATCAACATCGTCATTGTCATCGACACGTCTATGATCATAGTTGCTGCACCTCGTTAGATTCATTATACCTTTCCTGAAAAACATGGCAGGGTGGCTTGGCAGTGCTGTAGGGAACCCTCCTCAGGCTTCCTACGAACTTGAAACAAAGAACATCAAACGAGAGCCGGACGCAGGGCCAATCCCCACAAATGTCAGGACGTTTACCTCACGGAGTACCAGCACGAGAACAACTGGAGCTTCGATCCGTCGGCTTGGAGACCTCCAGGCCTTAGTCACTGGGACGGGGGCTTTCCGGCTTCTTGGGCTTGGGGGATGTTGAGGGTTGGCCTTGGGGAGGGCGCGGCCTGACCGGTCGAGGCATCCGGCAACGTGAGGCCTGTCTTCGGCAAAAGGCATCCTCGCCCACGGCAGACATCCGACCAGAGCTCCCAAGCCCAGAAAACCGCACAGTCCCGAATCCGAAACTCTTGCATCCTCGAAGCCCCAACCCTAAACCCTGAAGCCCCCACCAAAGTAGCCAACTATCTGCAGGCTGGCACGAGCCTTGGGTGGACCGCAGCCCAGGCCCGGACAGGGATCTGGACAGAGAACCGAGTGCTTCCTTGATCTCCCTTGTTCCTTCGGTTTATGCAGGGCATCTGAAAAAGAAATCCTCGAAGAACATCTAGGGAGGCTACAGACTCCCAAAGTCGGACGCCTCTCCGAGGGCCGAAAGTCCTCCGAAAGCGAGACTGGAAAACTCCTGAGCCTACGAAGCTCCGCCGCTAAGTTCATCTATGTCCCCCCAGGCCACCGGACGGCTCACGCTTTGCTCTGGGCCCCTTACAAATGGCCCTTACTCTGCCGAACTGGTCCCTTTTCATGACTGCCATTGTAGCTGCAAGGAGGGTTCCTTTCAGAGCTTCGCCCTCGCAGAAAGTCCCACACCTCAAGCAGCAGAAACACACTCAAGATCATCTTTTGTTTGAGGGCCTGCATGAACGGTGTTCCCGCTCTATATCGGGCCACATGCTGCGACGTAGGCCGCAAACGGTTTAGGCTCCGTGGGTCCTAGTTTGCGAGACATGCCCAACAGGCAAGCCGATCATTGATGCGGAGATCCGCGTATGCCTTATTGCAGCCGCTCGTCAATAAAATTCGCAAAGTCGAGCAGCAACCCTGTCATTGGTGGAGACCGCTCCTCAAAAGTGGATCTGAAGCCTTGCATTGGGGGTTGGGGAGCTGGAGCTTGAAACCGGAATCAGTCGTTGAAACTAGTGGAATCCTGATCCGCAGGGCTGTTCGGCAGCAGACTCCTCCACAACGCCCTGTTACGATGCGGAGCCCAAGGGACCGGGGCGGATATCCTGATAGATGATGATGCTCGCAATGGCAAAAGCATAGATCCCCGCACTTTGCCCAGCCACGGGCTTGTTGAAAAACCGCAGGCCGTCGAGGCCATCAGGTCCTCCACCCTGAGACTTTGCCGAAGAACCTGAAAGCCAAAAAGGGATGCAAACCCAAGCTACAGCTCCGAAGGGAACTCTCAAAAAGCCGCGAGCAAGTGACGCGAAGCTTCTCCAAGGACCTTATTTGCCCGGAAGTGTTCTGTGCTCAGCTTTTTTTTGAAGAGGTTTGCGGGCTTCGGAGCCTGCCCTTTTTCACCCTAGTAAGGCTAAGTCTGCGTCCACTTGAGGACTCGGGAGGAGAGCTTTCTGAGTGTTGAGTGGGTTTGTTTAGGATTCTTTCTTGTCTACAGGGTCATGTTCTGGTTAGCGTCTTGTTTGAACTATATGTATATCTATGTATATATATATATATGTATGTATGTATATATATATATATATGCATGCTGTCATAATCATAAGCGGGATCGGAATCTCGGGTTGATGCTGGCGGTCGCGGACTGTGAGGGAAGGATTTTTTGGGATTGTTTGTGCAGTGAGATCTGAGGCAAGAGCACGTTGGGTGACAGTGCAATACGGGGGTCTGAATGATAAGCGTCAGGAAGGGTTCCCTCGCATATTTAAGTCACGAACCCGAGAGGGGCGGGAGACAAGCATGGTGGGAACTCAAGATGTAGCCTCAACTAAAGACTGCCTCCGCAGATGCGACGCCAACGGTGGAGAGGGAACAGTGGGTTACGGTTCGGGATGCAGAGCATGGACTTCAAGCCGGACAGGCTCGGGGATGGAAGCACGAAACCTTCTCTCCAAACGCACGCCTCAAACCCGGATTGCCTTTCCCCTCAAACGTCAATGACATACATCCCTACACCGCTCAACCATACAGCTAAACTCCAGAAGGCCCACCCCCGGAACGCGAAAGCTGAAGACTTGAAGTCCCATGTCTCAGCCGTCTCGGCCCCATGGTGAAGTGAAAGGTTCGCTGCCTTGGTCGACCCCAAGAATGCGGATTTCCTGCAGCTTTATGAGGATGACACCATCCACGCCGCTGGGACTGGGGTACAGGCCTTCATAGGAGTCTTAGCAAACAGGGTCTCAGTCCAAGTGGGATTCTGGGTTGCCCATTACAGGGATCATGGTAGGGAAATCCGACGCTGAAAGGACATCTTGCCTTCCAACTAGGTGTTGCGTTCCAGTGTGAAGGCCACCCGAAAATTTAACTTAAAACTTGAACCCTAAGTCGCAAGTCCGTGGTTCCCAGGCGATGGTGAAGCACCTCTTCTGGAAGGCAGCGGGCAAGATCGACCTCACGTCGGTGCCGCGCCCGGCAGGAAATTGGGACGGCCTTCCCGGTGGCTGTTCAGTGTCTGGGATCTCCCCTGGCTAGCCTGGCAGTAGCCCGACATGAGTGGGTTTGCCCGTTGCAGGTTCTCTTAAGCTTTTGGAGCTTGGCGCTGCTTCTCGCGGAGGAGGCTGGGGCTTGTTCTATCGGCCTTGTGGTTGGTTTGGTTTGGTGACAGGCATGGTGGAAAACTGACGGAAGGGCGGAGGGGGTTCTCAGGGGGTCCTTGGAACTTGCTTATCTTCTGGCTCTCGTTCCTTTGTTGCTTGCGGACTTTCGGGAGAAGTGAACTGCTTTCGGCAGTGCAGGTGACACGAACACGCAAATCACAAAACCCGACGACAATGCTGATTGTGGGTTTCTGCGGGGGATGCTTCGTGGCAACTTTGTGGTTTAGGATCGGGCTTCTGGCCCAGCAATCCTGAATGTTCTTGGATTATACTCGGCAGACCTAATTTGAGCAAGCTTCCTTGTGAATGCAAAGGTCTCGGAAAGCCTCCGGCATCTCCTTCCTCCTGCCGCAATAGCTTGGAAGGGCTTTCGGTGTAGTGTCGATCTGCAAAGGCTCGTCGTGCCCGACATGTCAAGAAGATGTAGGGCGCAACTGCCGTTGGCAATTGGTGCCTCGTAGGGGTCTCGCAGCAAGGAACAAACAAGTTAATGCTTACGTCGTAACTGTACATACTTGGCGGCCGCGACAGTAGTTCATTCTTCCGTGCGTGTTACGCCTCTATGTGCCGTTGGACACCTCTCGCCTCGTGGATGTTGAAACAGCTCTCGAAGTACATTCGAAGGCAGCCTCTTCTTGAATGCAGGATGTTTTGAAGTTCAGCACATGTCAAGAGCGGCCCATTCAGGGAAACATGCGTCTCACGGAGACCCATTCAGAGTCAGCCAGCCCAGTCCTCCTTCCTAGTGAGAACTGGAACTCGACAAGCCTGCTCCTTCAAAAGTTGATAAAGCAAGCCTGCAAGATTCCCGAGATCTAGGTCGCGTCTTGCAGCGCATAAGCGGTTTGCAGCTGTGACACTGCAGAGCTTTCGAAGCCCGCTTGCCCTGCAGGGCTTCGATTCGGTTTGTCGAATCAGACGTTTTACGAACTTCAGCACTGATCTGGGCTGCCAGGGAATCATCCGCACCAGCAGTGGCTCGTCCGACTCCGATGCTGAGAGCGAACGCATCTTGGACTGCAGAAACCTGCAGCAGCAGCAGCAGCAGTACCATCAACAATACCACCGTCAGAGCCGAGATCACTTGGATGATGGTGACGGTAATGATGACGGTGGTCATCACCATGACCAAGACCATGATCATGATGATATTGGTGACGACATTGTTCATGGCGAGGATGAGGATGACGATGATGATGATAATGGTGATGATGATGATCTTATTGGCCGGAAGGGTGATCAGAGTGCTGTGACAGAAAGTGAGGAAAATGTTGACTTCGCTGTGGTAGTAGGACGTCGCATTTGCAGGAGGAGAAGTAGCAGCAGCAGTACCACTAGCAG